TGCCTGAGTACTGTGTCCATAAGAACAAACTGGCCAGTGATGTTATTAAATCGGATCCTACTGTCGTAGTACCCAAACATGGCTGCATAACCTAAAATCATTTCTAACCATTATGTTCTTAGGCAGCTCACAAAATTTGAAAATGATGACAACTTTGTTTGAATTTTCAACATATTTTTTCAATTTATTTGAATATGAATGGAATTCACAGGTTAGCAATTCTACTTTGAGATCTGCCAAAATTAGAACTTATAACAGATTTGAACACTGACTTGTCAAGATTTTGTTAAAATAAAAAAAGGATTATTCCTCACACACTATAATATGCAAAACCCTCATTAAAATAGAACAAAATAAAATGCAGACATTGCTGTCACAAATTACAGCAATTGATGATTTTCTTCAGATCTAGGTTACTTGTATAGCTCTGAGTATTACAATGGGTGCGTGTATAATCAGCTCAGTTTATAAAAGCTCTTTCCATGTTTTTAACATGGGCAGCTGTGTTTGAGAAAGAATCAATAATGTGTTCATATAATTGTAAAATTATCTCAGGGTATAGTTACATTAGCAATGTAACTGTGCATTTAGTGCACCGTTGAATCAAGTATTCTTGAACTTTAGATACCCATGAATCAATTTAGGAGGTCCAACATCTATGTAAATGTAAACTGTGGTAAACTTATATGTGACCTCTTATTGTGTCTAACATTTGCTCTAATCTTCCCATTCACGGGTTTAACACATCTCTCACTTCAGTAACTGTACACATGTGGTTCTTACTTCAGTTCGGGATGTCCTTCAATCACAGCATAGCCTGTAGGCAGGCAACCCCGGCTATCAAGACTTAGAGCTGCCCAGCCACAGTCCACCAGCAGCTGATTTCTGTGAGTGTAGTGACCTATGACCCTGGTCAGCACTCTTACTGCTATATCTTCCATCTTACAGGATCCTATTACAGACTGTTGCACATCTAGGGTTAAAAAAAGAGCAAAAAACATGGAAATAAATAAGTCACACTTCACAGTTTCAGAAATGATTTCAACCAATTTTACAATTATTTTAATTACTAATTGCTTTATTACAACTTATTATCCATCCAGCCATTTTCACTCCACCTTTCCTGGTGAGGGTCGCGGTACACCTTATTATTATATTTCTTAGAAATGGTAGACTTATGGTATATACAGTAAGTGTACAGTATTTCCCCTGAGTGGATTATCAAATTTCCTGCAAAATCAGACAGTTTCAGAAGAAAATCCTTAAAGAAATGCAAAAACAAATTCACTGAATTAAAACTTAAACCCTTGGATCTATTAGGGTTTGGTGATTCAGTGGCTCACATGGTAATGCTTTCTAGATAATAAAACTCAAAATAATCCATTTAGACCGCACAAACAAAGACTACTGCAAGGAACTGTGCAACCAACTTGCACATGAAACTTTCATGTTTCTGAATGATCTTTGTAAAATACAAATACAAATCAAAAAGAAACCTAGAAAATAGCTTGTTGCCCAAAAGTTGTGTTTCATTCCACGATTAATTTTCTTTACTTAAAAGCAAGGATGTTATGGCAGAATGGATGGATGAAAAATCTTTTTTTACCCACCAAATGTAATCTAATAATACTGCTACATTTATGTTTTTTAACTGAAAAAATATTTTTTAAATCATTGTGCAAATGTAGTCATCCTTAAAACAATGGGCATTACTTTCATATTATTTACCAAAAACCCATCCGTACATGTCTTTTGTAACTGGACTCCTCAGGGCCTTCATATTGCCATAAAAATATAATATTTTAATCTTATTCTTAGTCTAAAATCTAGTCCTTTAAGACTTGATTCAAACAGTACACATTTTAACTTGTTCTGAATCCTGGAGCAAATGAAGAATAAACTGGATTTGACAAAAAATGAAAGATGGCATTTAACCCACCATAGAAGATATAATTCCCAGGATGCACCTCACTTAGTAAAGTCATGTCTGAGACAGGGTGACTGCAGGAAGGAGTAGACCCAATGCTGGATTTAGGACAGGGAATTCCTGCAGTCTTGAGTCTGAAACATGGAAATATCACAGAGGACACTGTGATAACACATATTTCTATGTTTTTAAAAGAAGCTCCCTCATACATATGAAAATATTCTGAGACCAATAGATCAAAAAGTTAACTCTACAGTTATCTTCATTACATGAGTCTAAGGAATCCTTTTTTTGTATCACTTGCATCACACCTTTCCTCAGTCTACATTCAAAAACTTTCCTTTGTTCCCGATGGTTCTGGTTAATACTGCCATAATGTTTCCTGATATCTAGATTGATCTTTCCTAAATGACCTATCACGTAATGCAAATTAATGGAATGTCTCGTCCAAGCACGAGAAGATCAAGTGGCCCATGTCACCAAAGGTGACGATTGTAAATTGTAAATTGTGTTATGCTAAATGTTAGGTACTCCCTGTGTTCTCGTGGATTGTCTTTGTGTGCTGTGATTTTACCAAATGAAAACCAGTAAGTTTGGAGGTTAACTGGTGTCTCTAGACCTTTCCTGTGTACAAGTATATCTGGATCCTTCCCAGACATTTGATGTCTGTGCAAGTGTGTCTGATTTGTGGAGATCTTCATTAACTGTCATTCCAGAAATAAGGATGTTCTAAAATTCAAAATCTTTAAGAAAGCAGTCCCACTCCACCAAAAACAATATGCAAAACAACTGACAAATCCAATTAACTTTTGAAGACTCAACAGGGAAACATGAACTAGAGGTCACCAGTGAAGTGGAATTGTATTTAAATCTCAGGAGGCATTTCTTTACATAAAGGTATGTTGGAATATGGTTCAAATTATGCAGCCATGTAGCTGAAGCCAAAATCCTAGCTTCTTTCATGAAAAGGCTGAATGAGATCCTTGGAATAATTAGCTACTAAATACGAAATGGGCTAGAAAGGCCATATGCCATTCTATTGTTTGTAACCTTTTTTAATGTCACAATAACTGCATACCGCACTTATTGAGATGACTAGACCCACCCAGGGCTCAGAGATCGGTGAAAAAGCACTTTTTCAAGGTCTATAAGGGGAAAGGGACACAATCCACCAGGTAGCATGTGCAGCTTGGTGTAAAACATACGTTAGATGCACAGCTTGTACTGCTTTGGTGGCCATACATCCTACTAGCATGACTGTGGCTTTCACAGTCTCACTTTCACATACTGATTGGCATCACTGATGATACTGCTGTTGCATGTCTTTGTTGTATGACTTCCTATGAGGTCCTTCATATTCACTATTTACTTGCTGGTTTATCGTCACCATCATCTGGGTTTACCATCATATATGCATTTAGCATCTTCATTTTTTGTTAGAAAACTAAATAACAATATTGTGAATAAGCTGTAATCTTTTGATAATGTAAAGGACACAGTGTTTGTGTTTTCTCTCTTCTCTTTTCAGTATGGAATAAACTTATTACTTGTTCCTTTGCAGCCTATGCATGCTGACACAGCTACCCACCAGAACTATTTTGATAATGTATTTGTGCATCACCTGTCACAAGGTAACACTAATTACTTAAAATGACTTGTGTAAGATTACAGATGCCTCACCTCTGGTTAAATAGAGGTTTACTGTCCATCAAGAGGAGCTGGGAGTGGAGCTTAAGGTATTTAAACTGGCACACATGGTGTAGCAGTCGGTTTCTGTCAAGTTAGTGTAACCTGCTCTGAATGCTAGGCCTGTGAATCTTAAAACTGTTTTTATAAGCAGTCCTTGCAGAACCTATAATTTTGGTATTTGTTGATTGTCTTTTCTCTGTATTTAACTTATGGAACACACAGAACTTCATACATGGTGGTAGGATCACAACCTGCATAATGAATTAACTTACGTCATGTCTCCTTGGTGAGATTTCAGTGGTACAAACCTAGATTTTGCCATTTTCCTGATAACTTCGTTAATCTGTTGCAGTTATAAGTGCTAAGTACTGTATCTTTTGTTACTTAGTTTATATAGTAATGTACAGAATAAATTTAAAACACAACTTCTGGTACTTTTTTTTTTACTGAAACTTAGAACTTTAGTGCTATGGATAAATGACAGAATTTTTTTTTTACTGTAGTTTCACAAAAAAATAATTTTCTAGAGCCTAAATTCATTATATTAATGAGCCAAATATTCATTAATGGGAACCTTCCTCATTCATACAGTAATCCTGAACTGTTTAGGTTATGCAGCAGGTAAAGAACTGCAGGCCTTACTTCTCCATGAACTCCAGTGTAGCGGTCGTGGTTGCCTGGGCAACTGCCTTGATTTCATGTTCTCCAGTGCAATGGTATGTGTTCCCACAGTGAGCATAAACCCCAGTCAGCTCTATGCCCTGGCTCCCGGAAATGGCTTTGGCAAGATTAAGAGCAGCAGGATCACTGTAAGGAACTCCAGCTGTAGAAAAACAGTAGCAAGAAAATAAGACATTTAAAAAGGCTGGGGTAATATTTATCTCTGGGACTACACACTGATGTCTTCCACATATTCTTAATAGTATTAAAATATGAATCTCCTCAGGTATTTTGATTCCAGTTGACTTTATCTAAATGACTCCTTAGTACAACAACAATCATCATCATAATAATAGAAAAAAAACTACCATTCATTTACAGTGATACAATCATGCTATATGGTAGTGTTAACTTCAATAGCCATTAGAAAAGTTTTACATATACAAGTCTACAGTTTAATAAAGTACCATACTTAAAGAAGTCTTTGTTTTACAGATGTTCTTGATCTAGTTGATGTACAAAATACTGTTTACTTTTATTCTCAGTGGATTCATAAAGAATTAAAAATGCTTTCTATGGTGTAGGTAGTTGTAATAGTAGTTAAGTATCATGTTAATTGTTACTAAAATTAACATTTATTTACAGCTTTTGTGGACAAGTATTTTACTGTCAGTTTTTGCAAAAAAAAAGATAATATTTTTTAAATAGTTTAAAAAATAGTTTTGCAAAAGATAGGTTTGATTTAATTTAGTAGTTGATTTCTTTCTTTTTTCATTGTGTGTGTGTGTTACAAACAATCACTTGCACTGGTGTGAAACCAGTGATCTGGTTTACAGTTGATAAAATTCTCTGAACCTCACCTCTCCCGTTCTCGCAGTCCAGCTTCAGCCAAACATGCCACACTTTCCCTGTGCTCAGAGGGCAGCTCCTCAGCTGCTCCAGAGCTGCCAGACTGTCCACCAACACATGGAACAAGCTGAGGTGCTCAGACAGCTCTGCACACTTCTTCACCTTGTCGAAGGGTAACGGGTAGGCGTACAGGATGTCGTCGTAACCGTGCTCGGCGTAAAAGGATGCTTCCGCCAAAGTGGACACAACGATGCACCGGCGCGTGCCATTGGTCATGATGTCCCCACCCTCACTGAGACAGGATTGGTGGAGGCTGATGGGTGCTAGTTCACCAATGTCTCAGGTTTTACATTTAGAAAACTCAAGTTTTGGTAGTTGTATCATTGTAGTTTCGAGTTTTACAAACTTTACTTCAGTATTTCTTAAGGCTGTATCCACCAGATATTCCATTTCAGTTTGACACTTAGAACTTCGCTTTAAAAAAATCACAAATATCCTTCTAAACCAGTTCAGATTTGTGATACACATGCAGTGTTTCTTGGTTTTGGCATAAAGCTATAAAATACTGCCCTTTAAATCGCCATTACAACGTTTTAATCTCTGCAGCCTAAATAATAGTTATGTATTTATTGCAAATCATTAAAAATTTAAAACATCACAATTGTGATTGGAAAGGAGCCAACACAGCTATTTTAAGATGGACTAATGTGCCATCGTTTGTCGTGTCTGGCTGGATGCATAAGAGAACAAAAAAACTTGAGGCAAACTGGGCGAGTGGAGAAACAAAATACAAGTTAAACTGGTCTATGGATCATCAACTAATCAAATGTTTTGCCATTCCCATACATTTGCCACAGAGGATTTTGTAGTTTCATATAGCAATTACCAATAGCTGACTATTGGGCACAGAGAATGGGGAAAAAAAGAAAACTTCTTGGCATCTCAGACTTACTAAACAATGCTTCCTTATTCCCAGATTTTTGTTGTTTTAATTGCGACAAAATGTAAAGGAGTCAATCAACTGCAAAATGCAGAAACCAGAAAAGCCTCTATTACACTTTATAGATGTTAGGATTATTTTTTTGCAGACTTGCAATGCAAATTACTAAAAAACATTCCAAGTTGAAACCAAAAAAGTCAATTAAGACATCAAAACATTTTGAGGTTATTTAACTCACATCCAGTATCTTCAAATATTATTAAACAACTACAGCAAACTACATAGTGCAAAAATATTTCCAGATATCTTACATAGTTTTGTGAGTTTTCATGTGGGGTCGAAGTTGGACTCCTAGTTTCTTAAATCTGTCCATCATCACCTGGGCATTTTTCTTCACTTTAGGGAGGTCCACTACAAAGGCTGGAGTTAGGAGGTCCTGGGTCGCTTTTGGCACTGCCATTGTGAAGCACTGTCAACAAAGAAACTGTAAAACAATTATCTACTTTATTTAGTGTTATTTAGCACTTTTACTGACCGGTAAGTTGCTAGTTATTTTTTCACATTTCTTAGCAAGACATTTTTTAAGAACTGGTAAAACTGATCTGGCATCTGATAAAATAGCCTTAATCCCATTTTCAGTTCTTTCTTTGCTTGCTAGAGCTGTGTTCATTCTCATTACTCTGAGTTAATCCAAATGAGAATCACATTTATTCATGAAGTAGATTTAATGGACAACGAACTTACTCTGAGTTACCTGGTGCTGCAAAAAATATATGCCTTACACAAAAAAGACTAATAAGATAATTAAGATCACAGAACAAGAAATTCTGGTTAAGCAAGGACAACCCTAGGAAAGAAGTTGTTCAAATACCAGATGGTTCTGTTTTTAAGGTAGTCTTTCTGAGTGAAGTTTATTAACAAACTGAATGAAAAAAACCCTGTTCCTACTGCCAGCCTACAGAAGACTTCTCAAACGCACCAAGGCTTCAGTTATAACTGTAAAGACATGGACCAAAGAGGCAGAATCAATGCTTCAGGACTGTTTCAAGTGCACAGACTGGAGTGTGTTCAAAGATGCAGCCTCCCACGGATCCCACTCTGATATTGACATGTATGCATCATCAGTCACCAGCATTTGCTGATGTGATGAGCGTTAAAAAGATACGCAAACTCCCAAATCAAAAACCTTGGATGAACACTGAGATCCGCTCCCTGCTCAAAGCCCGTGATGCAGCCTTTAAATCTGGTAATGAGGAAGAATTGAGAGTAGCAAGGAAAAAATTAAGAGCTGGCATAAAATCTGCCAAGAAACAGTACAAATCCCAGATAGAACACCGCTGCAACACCAACTCTAACCCACGACGCATGTGGCAAGACATAAATACAATCACAAGCTACAAGAACAAAACAAGCCCTGTAAGCGCTCTCTTCCAAACAAGCTTAACACCTTCTATGCACGCTTCGAAGCTCATAACCCTGAACCAACCACCTGGACCACTGACTCCCCTGCCACCCCAACCCCACACTAGCCAAGCTACATGTGTGGAAATCACTATGTAGAGTGAACACACAAAAAGCTGCTGGACCTGATGGTATCCCTGGCCTGGTACTCAGAACATGTGCCTGGCAGATAGCTGATGTCTGTACTGACATCTTCAACCTGTCCTTGGCCCAGGCCACTGTACCTAGCTGCTTCAAGATGAACACGATTGTGCCAATACCAAAAAAATCAGCACCCACATGCCTGAACGACTACCACTCTATTGCACTCACCCCCATCATAATGAAGTGCTTCGAAAAACTACTTATTCCACACATTAAAGCCAGCATTCCAAATCCTCTTGATCCTCTCCAGTTTGCCTATTGCACAAACCACTCCACGGAGGATACAATCTCTATAGCTTTACACACCACACTAACCCACCTGGATAAAAGGAACATCTATACAAGAACGCTATTCATTGACTTTAGCTCAGCATTTAACACCATCATACCCATAAAACTTTCTACCAAACTCAGGGCTCTAGGTTTAGATACCACCCTCTGTAGCTGGATCCTAGACTTCCTCACCAGCAGACCCCAGACTGTCAGGATTGGCAACCTCACCTCCAACATGCTCACCCTTAACACCGGTGCCCCTCAAGGCTTTGTGCTCAGCCCACTGCTTTACTCCCTGTTCACCCACGACTGTACTGCCAAGTTCAGCACAAACACCATCATCAAGTAGGCTGACAATACCACAGTTGTGGGCCTGATCACTGACAACGATGAGACTGCCTATATGGAGGAGATAAAACAACTTGCAGACTGGTGCTGAACCAACAACCTATGTCTCAACATCAGCAAAACCAAAGAGCTATTCGTTGACTTCAGGAGACAAGGAAAAGTCTATTCCCCATCTACATCGAAGGGTCTGCGGTGGAGATGGTGAATAACTATAAATTCCTAGGTGTTCACATCTCTAAGGACTTCACATGGGCACACAACACCTCCAGTCTCATCAAGAAGGCACAACAGTGGCTGTACTTCTTGAGAAGGCTGAAGAAAATATGTCTGCATCCACAGATCCTCACCAACTTCTGCAGATGTATGGTGGAGAGCATACTGACCAGCTGCATCACAGTCTGGTACGGCAACTGCACCGCATCCGACCATAAGGCACTGCGGCAGGTGGTCAAAACTGCCCAACACATCATCGGCAGTGCCTTACCATCCATCCAGGAAATATACAACACCAGGGGTCTGAAAAAAGCCACCAAAATTATGTTTGACCCCACTCACCCCAGTCATAACTTGTTTGTCCCCCTACCATTTGGCAGAAGGTTCCAGACACTCCAGTCGCACACAACTAGACTCCAAAATAGCTTCTTCCCCAGAGCTGTCAAGCTGGTGACGCCCCCACTACCTCCCATCATACTATGATCTCTCCTCACTTCTTCCTGTACCCACAATGACTGTACTCCAACACCACTACATACGACAACTGAATGTTGTCTTAACTGAATTGTACTTAAAACTGTATTAGTTGTAATATCTATTAATCACTGTACTATTTCTGCACTGTTCCCTGAATTACTTTTGTACTGTTTTTGTCCCGTTGTATTCTTGCTCTGTTTGTGTATTTGTAGTTTTGATTACACTGTTATTACACTGTTATGTTATTGTGTTACTGTCTATTGTCTTATCTTCTGTCCTATTTATATACTGCACCTGAGTGACTAATGAAAACACTTCTCACTATACTATGCACCTGTGTAAGTATAATGACAAATAATGTTGAATTGAACTGAAATAGGTGGTAACCTAGGTGGGAGGGGTCATTTGCACTCTTTCCTGTACCCTCTCTGCAGAGGAAGCAATACACTGCAGTTTGTCTTTGGAGTGGGCAGATGTGTTGCCAAACCAAGCAGTTATAGAGGCAATCAGAATATTCTCAATAATACTGCTGTACTGAATTTGTTGGGAGAAACCAAAGTTTTTAAGTTGGTGCTAAATGTACACTGTGTGCTGTGGTTTCTTTGTGATACTGGTGATAATTACAGTATTTCCCATTTAAGGGTATTAGAGATCATAATTCCTCAAATCTTAAAGGGAAACAGCAGTCCCAATTTCTCAGACTGGTTATTAAGTCTCTGAAACAAAAAAAAATTAATCGATGGCATCACAACATCCGACAAATTCCGCATTAAGCACAAATTGTGAACTTCGTAAAAGTACTGTATGGTCACTATGTTGTGACGATTAATTTTAGAAATAGAAAGAATTAATATAAATGAGTGCATTTCAAACCACAATAAAAGAAAAATGTATCCAATAATGTAAAAAAAAAACTACATCACAAAATAGACTATATTTCCAGACATACGCAGGGCCATATTCTGCAATTCAGAATAAGGCAACCAAACCTGTGGTGAGGTGAAATGGTCCTCTTACATTGTTAACAGGCAGGCTGTGAATACATCTTTTTCAATACCATATAGAAATATAGCTCCCAACTGGTTTGCCGACAGATACTTTTAACATGTTAATACTGCATGCAGATCACATTAGAACATTTCTGTAGTGAAATGTCTGCTGCACAACTTGTGATGACATTATGTCATCACAGTAACTAGTGAGCAGGAAGGACCACTCGCGCAAGCTCTTGCACTTGCCCGTGGCGAGACCAAGGATTTGTGATCATATGGAAACTATACAGTATTTTCACATGATTTTTTCTTAATTCGGAATTTGCAAAATTTTGTAAAACCATCAATTCTTAACTAAACAAGAATTTAATAAGCAGTCTGGGAAAATGTAGTTCCCCTTTAATATATCAGTGAACACTGGGCTAACAGCTCTGCACAATACTTCAATGTAGCAGGGGAGACCAGGTCAGGTCCAACAGTTCTCTGCCTTGCAAAAGGCTTTTGTACTTACCGTTTTTGATAATTAAAGGTGGCTGTCTTCAGGACAGGAGCAAACTGAGAACTCAATGTGTGCTACTTGCGGCTGAAGGGAAGAGAGAAACAATGAGGTAGTAAAATTTGAAGAGGTCATCTGAATACATGAACTATGATCATCATTATGGAGCCGATGTTTTTCGACCTGCAAAGAGAATTGTTCAGTCTATCTTGCAGTTACAAATCAGCTATAACACTGGGAGCTTTTTAAAATAATTTGTGATAATCTGATGGCTCCTCCAAAGAGTTGTAGAACAATTATTTGCCAGCTGCCATTCTACATTTTTCCTATAATGGACTTTTGCATGTCTAATAGCTTTGTTTACTTGACATTTAACTCTTCTGTAAATGTTTCAGTAAGATTTGCATCTCCAAAGGTTCCAAAAATTAAAAATGTTATTTGACAGCATTCACAATTGTGTAAAAAAATGGGCAGATGACATTTTAAATTGGCACATGTGGAGTGCGCACAATGTATTAATATATTTGTATTCAGAACGATAAAAATATATTGCTGCTCTAGAATCAGTGCAAAATAGGAGTGACAAGGTACATTCTCAAGCTTAAAGGAAAATCCATCTGTCAGGCTAAAATAAACATTTTTGACATAGTAAACCAATGATCTTCTTCAGAATCAAAAGTGAAGTATGAACTAGAAAACACAAGTATGAAATTTTAAAACTGAGAACAGAGTCATCCCCATATATTTTGCAGTACATTTCTTGAAACAATGAGGCTGCTTTGGATGAGGTGACAAGAATTTGTGAGGCCCTGCTTTGAGTCTCACTAGTGTGAGTAAGATACCAAATACTGTCTGATGAATGACCAAAACTGGGAAAGGGCATTTTTTTCCAAAAAGAGAGTCTTAGCAAAGTTATCGGAGCTAATACTATAACTTATTCAGAAAACAGCTACATTATGATTCACAGGTCAGCTAGCAACTGAAAATCAAACTGACTAAGGATGTCTGCCATTTCAGTTTCAGCGCCTAATGTCCCGGTTTGATTTTCCCACTCCATGTGAGCAAAACAAAAACCTCCCATGACATCCAGTTCTTTCTTTTACTTTAGAATGCTACTTTTTTTCCTGCAACCGATCTATATACAGATCCATATGTAGATTCTGTGAGCCTTGATTTAACAAAGGATACATTTCTACAACTAAACCTTTCCCACTCTCTATATGCCATGCTTCTGTGATTCCAGTTATGTCGCAATCCCATTCTGCTATCTTCTGGGTTTTGTTACTAATACAAGTAGGAAGCTGCATCAGCATGCCTTGGCTGCAAGGGAACAAGTAAACAAGTAACATGGAGTAAACAAGTTATTCCATGCTGAAAAGAAAAGAAACATTTCGGCTGAGGAGCCTTCTTCGGGTGTCCCACACGCCCAAAGTTCACGAGGAATAACAACACCCCAAAATCAAAGTGTGGCGAACTATTGTGGAGTGAATATTTGGCTTAACACGCTTGGCTGTGGGCCGACCTCCTGGCCATAGGACAAGGAGGCCAGGACCCCCCCGCGAGGTAACCAAGGGGCAGCTGCAGAGGTGGAGTTGGGGTGGAGGTGGGATGCAAAAGTCTCACGCGAGGGAGAGAGATTTCATATTTGGTATTTATAGTGTTCGGTGGAGGACGGACGAAGGGAGTGATTGGTAATTGCTGATGGCTGGAGAGGATTGAGAGTGGTTGCTGTCATCCCTCCAGAACTTTAGTTAAATAAACTCCATTTGTGTTTCTTTTCTTCTCTTTTTAGCATGGAATAAACCTTTACTTACTAATATTTTACTAACACTCCATTTATTTACTATAAGCACACTTGGTACTTTTTACCTCTTGCCCATACGTTTTTTTTCTGATTCTTTTACTTTTCTTGTTTAAATACACCTGGTTTAAACTCTGCACAGACAAGATGAGGGGCCTTTAGATTTTGCACTTCATGTTACAAAAACTAACACTGTACCTTTCTCCTAAATATATTTTTGTTTGCTCAGTGTGAGCATAAACTATCTCAACACAAAAATAAAAAAAAAAACACTTTCAACTGCCATATTTCAAATTACGTGGCATGAAACCATATCCACCTACCAAGCCAGGACTATGAAATATATATAAAAAAAAAGTTAAGCGCATGGTTTCTTTATAGATTTACTACAACTGGTTTGCTGTGTTCTTTCAAGAAAATTAACGTCAAGAAGGAGTACATTTCTGTCTGGCAGCAGTCTTATGAAACATGAAATAACAAAATAAAAAATATGACTATTTAACAGTTCCTTATATTAAAAGATATCATTTAAATAATAAAATGTGGATTTTAAAGGCAATTAAGTTTATTATACCCCATGCCCAGCTTTTATGTTGTTTCCTGGCATTGTTATGAAATAAAATAACAAGTGATCATACTAGCGATAACACTGGGTTATCTGTATAATGTAAGTGGAAAGGAGAACAACTGAAACGATTGGTACAGATTTCTAATCCATAAAAAGCAAATGAATGCCTCGTCTGGCGGCTTTTATATTTTTGGCATTATGACAATACAGACATGTATACTTTATACAATGTTGTAGTGTATGTGCATTAACTTCACTCCTGATGCAGACGTCCCAGGAGTACGCGCACTGATATAAGATTGAGTATTGTAAATTGGGCAGTTGTATGTTTTAAATTTTCCAGTTGGGCTGCAGATCGGACTCTGTGTACTAATTAATGTGGTTGTATTTAAGAGTATAAAACACAACAAATATCATAATTCGGTTATCTCCTTAACACTAGCGAGGAAAACGCTGTTTCATGTTTACGCTCAATCCTGCATAGTCAAGCATAACAACTACAATATTCCAAATAATATAAATATATATTTAAAAATGCATTCATTTGCCCAGGTCGTTCCTCCGATATCCATGATACCAGGATTCTTCATAAAAGAATTACGGACCCCTCTGTCATTATTCCTGCTCCGCAGCGGTGAAGCCTGATGTGTTTAGGTGTGACATTCTTTTTAAAAATAACTACGATTGTAGGACACTTAGACCATTAGGTAGCTACCACAATAAATTGTTTAGCTGTCAGCTGTTTTTTTTTTGGTGGGGGGGGTCTAATAATATGTTTTTAAATAAATGTTAAAAATGTGTTACAAACGTGATTAATTTTACGGTTGTTTGTCGTGGTAAACAAAACATTTTAAAAAAACTTTTTTCTTACCGGAGGTAAAACCTGGTATTTCAAGTTGAAACAAATGAACTGAGCATCTGACCTTTGCATTAATAAAAAAAAAACCAGACCCACTGAAGTTCCGGCTACGGCAAGTCCAAATAGACAAACCAAACTATCACTCCACATTTAGAGAAGACAAATTATTGTACATCTATTGTGCTCAGGTTAAACTAATTACAAGAATTGTGAGTCTTTGTGTCCTTTTTGTTGACAGAAGTATTTTATTTTTTATATTTTCATTTACATCAGCAATTTATTTTTTTAAAATTTAAGCACTAAACACAGTATCAGTTTTTGCAAAGAACCCAAGAACAAAGAGAAAATACATTTTAATTGCTTCTAAGCTGTCTTGTGCACCAATGTAACACAGAGACCAGCTGCCAAAACAAATCCTTCAGGATTTTTGAGAGGTAGCCCAAAATGGTTTTGGACCCTGTAGGTGGTTGCCTTGACGTTTGAGGTTTTGGCATTGAAAGAAGTTTGTCTTTTTTTTCTTCATACTCTTTAACAATTGGAAAAATCTGCCTGTTTGTTTCCCTGTCATAACGCAGAATGTTTTGGTTGATCCATGCTCAGATTTTTATCTTTGTCTGGCTAGTCAGGACATGTGGCAGAACAAAAGATAAAAGCATACAAAAAGGCATGAGCCCCACAATCATAGCTGTTTCTTTGAAGTGGAAGGTCTGTATTATTAATAAGCATTGCCGCTACACTGTAAAAAGGCACTGTCCTTGGGATGAGATGCACAACTGAGGTCCTGACTATCTGTGGTCATTAAAAATCCCATGGAGTTTCTTGAAAAGAGTAGGGGTTTAACCTTGGCGTCCAGGCCAAATTTCCCATTGGCCTTTACCAGTCATGCTCCCCTAATGATCCCCATCTGTGAATTGGCTTCATCGCTGTCTTCTCCTCCTTACTGATAGCTGATATGTGTATTGTGCGCACTCTGGCTGCCGTCACACCATCCAGGTGGGGCTGCACAATGTGGTGGTGGAGGGGAGTCCCTATTACTTGTAAAGCACTTTGAGTGGAGTGTCCAGAAAACGTGCTAAATAAGTGTAAGGAATTCATATTATTAATAGCTTTTTCATTTGCCAAACCTTGATAGATGGCTACAGGTGTTTTGTTTCTGATCTGAAATCTTTTCCAGGGCTGCTGGATGTGCTTCTGATGTTTTGATGTTCTGTTTCTTTCAGTGTTTGTTTTCCATGTTCCAGTTTCAATGTGGTTTCGGAAGGAATGCACAATGTTTACCACTGTACTGAATAGCAACGTACCGTAACAGGCAGATTTGACATACAGCTCAGAAGCATGTTTATAAAACTGCTTGTGTTCCCCTTTTACCCCAGAGTTCATCTTCTTTACTTTTGGTGCTGAATGGGGTAAGTATGTTCCTTGATTTAACCAAGTGATGGAGTCTGCAAACCAGTCAGTCCACTTCCTTTCTTTGCCTGCAAATGAATACTCAGAAATGTCATTATGTTGTAAATGGGAGGTGCTTTTGCAATTCTGGTTGTGTCCGCATGAGTGTATATGGTATATGTGTTACTAAATAACTTAATAAGTGTTCTTGCAACACGTATACCGAGCTGTAATCTCTTTTCAAAACGTGTTGATCACTTAGTTCAGGCGGAGACTTTTCACTTTAGCTTTAATCTTCCAAGTCATCTACAGTATAACTCAGAAAAAGTCAGTCTTTAGTTCTAAATTCTACTAATGATTGTTGTATCTTCAAATACAAATTATTTGATAACTGTATGTGATTATGTCTTATTAAACAAGAAAATAAGTTAAAATAATTCTTAAGGTAATAAAATGATCAAAAATGTTCCATAAATTTGTTGACTTCTCTGTATATAAAAATAGTTATACTATAATAGTTATATATTATGAAGAAATTTGTGGTAGAGAGCTATTATTTGCAAGGCAGCAGGGTTTTACATTTACCCTACCCTTTATTGATTTGCTTTTTATTTAATTTGAAAATAATAACTCTAAAATACAATTTTATACACTGGGAATTTTGTACACCTCATCTGAATCCTAATAGGAAAACTGAAGTGTTTACAGTATGAAGAAAAAAAAGCAGACCACACACATTGCTGATGGAAAATGTGAAAAACATTTGAGATGTGGCCAGTTTCACTGGAGTGGAAATGTTTAACAATAAGATTTTGAAGTATATAAGCTCCTTGTGAACATCTACATGTACACCGGATAAAGAGAGACAATTGTGTGACTCTGTTCCTTTTGTTCTCCAAAGAAGCTTTTTTGTAAGAGATTAAACCTCTTTCTAAACTTTCACTGAACTGTCAATTCTCCATTAATTTTCCAGGCCCTCATGCAGCAAGGCATTGCCATAGCATGAATGATGCAGCCACCGCTTGTTTTCTGCCATTCTCCAATGAAACCCTGATATGTGAAGCACCTGGTCGATCATTGTTATATGCACAGTTCTTTCCATGGAAAACTGTATCTCCTTTAGATTTGTCTGGTGGCCTCCGTGACTAATACTCAGATACTGTATCACCCAGATACTGTTTTTTGGAGGATACCCTGTTCTACGCAGATTCACAGTTGTGACATATTTTCTCATTTCAGCTTTTGTTGTGTTTTGTGCGATATCCAACACTTATATTCAACACAGGAAATTTTCTTATACCCTATACCTTCTCCTAGTTGGTGTTTTTCAACAACCCTATCTTGGATTTGTTCTGAATGCTCCTTTGTCTTTATGATGTAGTTTTTGTTGGAAGCTGTACTAATCAATTCTGGGACCTCCCAGAAATAGGTATATTTAACCTGAACTGATGTTAAACACCTTAATTGCGCAAGGTGGATTCCTAAATTGTTTGCACTATAGCTTAATTAAGTATGTCATAGCAAAGGCTATGTTTGTCATACTGTATGTAACAATTTATTTATTGCTTTATATTTATAATTAAGGAGGATCTGTAGAATTTTGTTTTTTGTTGATCAATGGCAAAAGATCCCAATTAAATGCAAATTGATTCCATATTGTAACTGTTATGCTGCAGCCCAATCGCAGTTCTCAGTGCACTAAAGATGTTTCTATAGAAGCGGCGAAGTAAATTCTACTGAAGTAGTACTACTGAAAACTCTACTGAAGTAAATTCACTTTCTATTCTTCTAATCTAGATAACCACAGTGTCATTAAATGAATAACATGCGGAGGTGAACTTCTCATATAAAACACACAAAGACATTTTTTCTCCAAATATATCAAACTGCTCCCAGAGCAGTACAATTTATATGGCAATGAACCTAAAGGAACAACTGCACTACATTCACAGATTCACAGGACTTTTATGTGAAATATGTACTTTATGTTTTTAAATGTAACAGACTTCCAAAAATTGAGTGTTGGTAGGAATTGACTATATTGTTGGACAATTTGGATATAAATACATATTATGATGATTTACATAAACCAGTACTAAATCTCTTTTTTATAGTTTGTCCATCCATCCATTTTCTGACCACTTTATCCAATACATGGTCTCAGGGGAGCCAGTGCCTATCCCAGCAAGCAACCTGGCAACACTGAACACCATACCAGTTCTTTGCAGGGCACACATAGACACAATCATGCACACACTCACACCAGGACAGATTTTCTCAGAAGTCAGTTAAACAAGTATGTCTTTGGACTGTGGGAGGAAATCTGTAGCTTGTTTCTTTCCATATATATTATTGAGAAGCAATATCGGTAATACAGGAAATGTCTAGGTGACGTCATTGCTGCCCAAGGAAACACCACTAGTCACTGAATTTAAGGGTTCATGTTTATTCACACAAATATATTTATTGTTGTGTCGTTTGTTTAAATAAAAGAAATCAAAACATATTTTATGTCCTTGTGTTATATGTTTAATTAATCGATCTTCATTTTTATTACGACTTTAATGAAGATCTATTTATGTTTTTTGTCTGAAATATATGAGAATGCAGAAATAGGGGGTTCACATACAGTATGTTTTCTGTTATTTTCTACAGATGGGAAAACACACATATAAAGCAGCAAACCTGGACCAATGAATTGCATATCTTGATAGAACTCCAAACTATCAAGCATAGTTAATGATATGGCAGTGATCTGGAAATATGGTCTAGAATAAAAGAACTGAATAGAATGATATACTGTATAGTGTTAAATATGATTAACTATAACATGAGAAGAAGTCAGACAATAATATACAGCTTGTCCTAAATTATCTTAATCTTCCAAAATGATTATAATCAATTTAACCAAATGTAAATAAAAATTAAATGATCACTTTGGAATAGCCATCTCAGACACTTTTTTCTTATTAGGTCACTGTGGAGCTACCAGCTATAGTCAAATATCATACATGCAACCTGATCCAACTTTACAATGTTTGCAAACAAGATTGCACTAATGTATCAGCTTACAGATGTAGTGAACTAAGAACGCCTAACACAAATGTACTACAGCTATAGTTTAGGGCAAAGGCAGTCATGCAAAAGCTGAGCTTTGTAAAATTTATTGCAGTAAGATACCTGTTCACTATGGCACCTATTGAACCATCTTTATAAAACTTGCTGCTTGTGTAATATTAAATTGACTGACCCACTTAATAAAAATAAATCAACTTCCTGATGAGCACAAAACTCTTAGTTTAAATTAAGAAGTAGTTGCAGCAAGTCATGGTTTCTCAGTGCACTAAAGATGTTTCTATAGAAGCGGCGAATGACCAGACCAATAATTAACAGGGAGATCTGATGCAGGCAGGAGAAGGAAAGACAGTCTGTTTAGATCTAATGTTTCTTTATTAGCCCTATACAATTTCTTGCATTAGGAATTCATCTTTTTGCATACCCCAGCTTTTCTCCATGGAGACACAGACAGGGCTTGGAGAAGTTTGGGGTCAGAGTGCAGGGTCTGCCATTGTATGGTGCCCCTGGAGCAGTTAGGGTTAAGGGCCTTGCTCAGGGGCCCAACAGAGTAGGATTTCTCTGCAATGGGATTTGAACTGGCAACCTTCCAGTCACAGGCACAGATCCTGTGACTGGAAGAGCCACCACTCCACCCCTAAAGCTGTGTCTTTGAAAAAAGAAAAGGCTCCCAGCCAAAATAAAAAGCAGGAATAGGCTGGCAAGCTGGGGCTGTAATAATTTCAAAAAAATAAAAAAACAAAAAGGCAAAGAAAAAATATCAAAAGTAAAAAGAAATACTTGAAGGGGTATCTGCTGGATCGTTGCACAGGAAAAAAGTGAATAGAATGTAGCTGATTTACTAGCAAAAGAGAAACGAACACTCGCACAAATGGTGAGGCTCTAATGACGGAGCAACAATACAGCGGTTTGGTTTGATTGAAAGGTGTCCCGATCTAGTTTGAGTGAAAGTTGAAAGCTTATGGCAATGCCCTTAGCAACAGCAGGATGCAAATGGGTCCCAGCCCGGGTATGTCAGCCCCCCCTGCCTTTTCTCTTCCAATGGACAAAATACTGCAAACTTGATTTGACTCTTTGTGAGTCCAGAAACGGTTTAAGGACAAGCAAAATTTTCCACAGGAGGAGTGGTGATTGGTTTATGCGTAGTGGTCAGTGTGTGTTTTAACAAGGATATGTGAAACCCTCCAAACTCCCTCTAGGTCCCCAGCTGCTCGGTTTGCAGCTGGTATGTTCGTGGATTGTTCTGAAGAGAGGAGGATGGTACCTGCACTAACAATTCAAATGGAAATTTCCCTGTGGAGATGTTCACCAAAATATTACAAAAAAAGCTCAGCCCAATGGAGAAGGTGCCCAATCATCCTGAAATGCGGATACGAGGCAGCCCAGATACGTTCCAAGGTCCTGATTCACCCGTGCACTGTTGGTCTCTGGGTGGTATCCTGATGAAAGGTCAACTCTTATTCACAATTTTCAACAAAAGGCCTTCCAAAATCGGAAAATGAATTGAGGCTCCTCCTGAGGGATAGATTCGTAGATGGGAATCCATCTTTTTGGTGAACATTTCAGCCATTTGAACTGCAGATGTTAGTCTATGCAGAGGTATGAAGTGGGAAGTTTTGACAATGGTGAGAATTATGGAATACCCCCAGGAATGGGGAGTAATGAAATCCGAAGAAATGTGCTGCCACGGTTGATCAGGAAAGGGCAAAGAGAGTAGTAGTCCCACTGGTGGTCATCTGGAATCCTTTGCCTAATTACACACTGGGCAGGCATTCTCATAGGGAGTCATGTTGGTTCTCATGGACAGCCACCAGAAATACCTGCGGAGGAGTTCCAGTGTATGGGTACAATCAGGAAGTCCTGCCGGTCTAGAAGAATGACCTTACTGAAGGACATCCTGTCTGGCTTGTGTCAAGACATATTGTTTATCAGGCAGAATGTTTGAGGGGGCCGGTTCAGTGGCCTGGGCTTCAGTGAGTTTTTGTTCAACTTCTAATAGTGTCACTAGAACAATTCGATTAGGAGAAATGATAGTGGTCGGTGCGGGAGGAGCATCTTCAGAGGCATGCATGCGAGAAGGGGTTATCAGCTTTAATGTTTTTGGTGCCTGGTTGATATAGAATCAAACAGGGATAAGAAAAGGAACACTGCAATATATTCAAGACTCTTGTGGTCAGTATATACTGTACCACGAATGGATGTTGTGCTCATTCCAGCAGGTGTCTTCATTCCTCTAGGACCATTTTTATTGCAAGAAGTTGTCAGTTACCATCATCATAGTTTTGCTCCACCAGGGACAATTTTCAGGAGAAGGTGGCACATGGATAGTGTTTCGGTTCAGATCCTAGGTGCTAGGACATACCTATGTCTGAGGTATCTACTTCCACTTTGAGGCTGGGAAGGGTATGGATCTTGGAACACAGGGGCTAAAATAAACCACTTTTTCAGCTCTTTGAAGGCCTGTTGCACCTCAAAATTTCATTTCCCTTGATTTTCGAGGGAATTTCGAGAGAAGATAACAATATCAGTGAGACATGTCACCACAAATTTTCCAGGTTTCACCCAGTCTTGTGTTGTATAATTAAGAGTGTCAATTATAACCCATGTTTTATTTCAAATATATTAAGTTTTAACAGACACGGAAAAAATCTTGAATTTACCATATCTTATTGTTTAAAAAAACGTGTTTATTCTGTGAGTGCAAACATGGTCAATGTTTGCAAAAAATTTAAATGTGAGGAGTACAGGCTTCAGATTGTATCAGTTACATATAAAAAAACAAATTCTTGATGTGTAAGTTTTGTAAGTGCTTTTCTTGCTGCAAAAGAATAAGTCTAAAAAAAGACCCAGAACCAAGAAAAAAATAAAATCCTATACAAAGATGCCCATATCCAAATGACTTAGGTAAATGTTAGCTATTTAAAATGCTTTCAACAGTGAATGCATTGATAATTATATTATTAAAAATTAAAGGTAGGAGGACTGTATGAATGCATATCTGTAATTTTCCAATGCTGGAGAGTAATAACCACTGAGACATGCTGTACTCAATGTGACATGAAACCAAGGTCAAAGTGAATGAGTGGTTAACTGCTTTTAAGATTAATCTGGTAAATATCATCATTATGAATTATTAATGTAAATCAGTTTGTATTTCATTCTTTGTTGAAACTCTGGACTGGCGGCTTTCCATGGCAATGTTTTCACAACAATGCATTTTATACAGTTTTATGTCTTTCTGTTAACACAGGCCAAATAAACCTTGTTAAACTGTGATATGTGACTTGCATAATTTCATGCATATGTTGCTGGTTTCAGTCAAGCAGTGTATATTGCAATTGTGCCTATAGCATTTAAATAAGCACTCATATAACCATATAATCATGTAGTACAGTATAACACAAAGATACTACAGGCATAATAACAAAAAATCTAATTACCACAGGCCACTTTCTTCAGCTTTCCAATTAATTCTGTGATTTAAAACTTATTTCAAGTGCCAAGCGCTCAAGAAACAGGAATGTATGTTAACATTATTCATGTCCAAGGTGTATTCATGCTTTTCTAAAATTTACAAGATCCTTGTATTACTAAAACATTATTATCTGAAGATTTATCTTAAGCACACTCATAAAGCAGCTCCTGTCCATAATTTTAGCTCATTATCAGTGCATGAATAAATTCATAATTCAATCATGTTTTATATATGAATATCTGAAAATGAATCTTAATATGTTTCTGTTATCTTTAAAAATCATAGCAGAACTAATGACATTTTCTCTCCAGAGAGCAGGAATCTCTTCTAAAATGCTGTCTAGGTAAAAAGCTGTAAGCAAAACCTATCCATTCAAGAGAGTGAATGACTTTTAAAAAAAAAACAATTATGGAAAAAAACTATACATCGATGTATTAGTGGTAAATTATGTATATGTTTATGGAGAAAAACAAAGTTTACATTTACATCTCCAGTCTTCCTCTACCATAGCACCTCAATGAAAGTATTAAAGAATAATTTTAAGGCACTGAACAACCCTAAAAGCTTGTAATATTTTGCTTTGACTAAAAAATCCCTACAAAATATATTTTAGAAAAGGGTATAACATGGGGAGTGTTATTCTGTGCATATTTCTTTCTTGCTTAAAAAAATGCAGGTTGGTGATTTTCACACTAACAGATCCACCTGATGAAACGGTCAAAGAAGTTGGCGTTTGAGAGCTGAGAATACTCCTTCTCGTGGAAAATGGCCGACCTGTCTCCCAGTCCAATTTGCAAGAGCACATCATTATCCACATCGCTACCAACAGCAATCACTGTGGGCACAGCATCTGCTCGCCTCATGGATATCTGGGCCTCGTCTAGGCTTTTGTTGCCTGTGAAGCCGTCAGTGATGAAGATGAAGGAGAGCTCAGCGTTGCGTCTTGACAGCCGGCTTCCCTGGCTGTTCACGATATTGTTCATGGCGTAAATAATGGCAGTGCCCACATTAGAGGAGGACTCCAGGTACTTCATCTGACCAAGGCTTTTCAAGATGGTTGTAAGGTTGTAGGTCAGAGGGAATATGGTCTGTGTCTCATTCTCTCCGCCGTACTGCATCAGGGCCACTCGTGCGTGCTGCTCATCATTGTCACGACTGGCCAACACTAGACTGCGTGCCACTCTCTCCACAAAGCCACGAGCGTGCTGGAAGTTCTTCTCTCCAATCCTTTCAGAGCCATCCAATAGGAAGACCACATCCACAGGGCGCTGGGTGCAGGCCGATACCGCCATTTCTGAAGGACATAAACAGGGTTAATTTTTGTGCACGTATGACTGATAACTATTAAGAAGCTGGAACTTTCATTTAATCCTTTTAAACCACTTAAAGAAAAGTAATATTTGAACAAACAATACTACCACAATGCCTACCACTTTGCAGATTTCAGAGGAATGAAAAATGCACATTAATATAAAGAAAAACACATTTTTGATTTAGGCCTTTATTCATACGGTATGCAGTCATACAATATATTAAAAACTATATAGGTCTAAATGACCATTCTACACAGTTTTTCAATAAATGTTTTTCAATGAATAAACATTTGTTGCAGTCAAGGACATTTTAAATCATTCAATATACATAACATTCTAGACAGGTTGCAACATGCTATCAATATATTAACATAATCTATTTGATTTTTTTTTTAAAGTACTGAAGTAAATTCACTTTCTATTCTTCTAATCTAGATAACCACAGTGTCATTAAATGAATAACATGCGGAGGTGAACTTCTCATATAAAACACACAAAGACATTTTTTCTCCAAATATATCAAACTGCTCACAGAGCAGTACAATTTATATGGCAATGAACCTAAAGGAACAACTGCACTACATTCACAGATTCACAGGACTTTTATGTGAAATATGTACTTTATGTTTTTAAATGTAACAGACTTCCAAAAATTGAGAGTTGGTAGGAATCGAATATATTGTTGGATAATTTGGATATAAATACATATTATGATGATTTACATAAACCAGTACTAAATCTCTTTTTTATAGTTTGTCCATCCATCCATTTTCTGACCACTTTATCCAATACAGGGTCTCAGGGGAGCCAGTGCCTATCCCAGCAAGCAACCTGGCAACACTGAACACCATACCAGTTCTTTGCAGGGCACACATAGACACAATCATGCACACACTCACACCAGGACAGATTTTCTCAGAAGTCAGTTAAACAAGTATGTCTTTGGACTGTGGGAGGAAATCTGTAGCTTGTTTCTTTCCATATATATTATTGAGAAGCAATATCGGTAATACAGGAAATGTCTAGGTGACGTCATTGCTGCCCAAGGAAACACCACTAGTCACTGAATTTAAGGGTTCATGTTTATTCACACAAATATATTTATTGTTGTGTCGTTTGTTTAAATAAAAGAAATCAAAACATATTTTATGTCCTTGTGTTATATGTTTAATTAATCGATCTTCATTTTTATTACGACTTTAATGAAGATCTATTTATGTTTTTTGTCTGAAATATATGAGAATGCAGAAATAGGGGGTTCACATACAGTATGTTTTCTGTTATTTTCTACAGATGGGAAAACACACATATATAGCAGCAAACCTGGACCAATGAATTGCATATCTTGATAGAACTCCAAACTATCAAGCATAGTTAATGATATGGCAGTGATCTGGAAATATGGTCTAGAATAAAAGAACTGCATAGAATGATATATAGTGTTAAATATGATTAACTATAACATGAGAAGAAGTCAGACAATAATGTACAGCTTGTCCTAAATGATCTTAATCTTCCAAAATGATTATAATCAATTTAACCAAATGTAAATAAAAATTAAATGATCACTTTGGAATAGCCATCTCAGACACTTTTTTCTTATTAGGTCACTGTGGAGCTACCAGCTATAGTCAAATATCATACATGCAACCTGATCCAACTTTACAATGTTTGCAAACAAGATTGCACTAATGTATCAGCTTACAGATGTAGTGAACTAAGAACGCCTAACACAAATGTACTACAGCTATAGTTTAGGGCAAAGGCAGTCATGCAAAAGCTGAGCTTTGTAAAATTTATTGCAGTTAGATACCTGTTCACTATGGCACCTATTGAACCATCTTTATAAAACTTGCTGCTTGTGTAATATTAAATTGACTGACCCACTTAATAAAAATAAATCAACTTCCTGATGAGCACAAAACTCTTAGTTTAAATTAAGAAGTAGTGGCAGCAAGTCGTGGTTTCTAAATATCAAGGCATTGGTCATCGGTTATTATATGAATATTAAAATCATTATAGAATGTTCAAAACGCAGCAGCAGGAATAATTGGTTAGGGTTCTGGACCCGGAAGGATGTGGACTCACACCCAGGTGAGACACTGGTGTTATTCCCTTTAGCAAAATACTTCACCCAATATACTTCAGCTGTTTAAAAGAGTGCAAATATAATTAACTTTGGATATATAAACCAATAACTAAATTTAAAAAATCATCTGAATAGATTATAAATTAAAGTCAGGTCTTGAATTGGTTCCTTAATCACAAAAATGTTTTATACTGTATATTCCTCTAGGGTAATTCAAATGTCTGAATTCCCTGATTTGGATCATGCCACAAAATAAGCTATAAGCCTTGACTAGGAAACTACATGGTGGTACCAGGTACTACACTCTGCCATAGATTCATAACTGGTGAATCTTAACACACCCATCTTTGTGATTTTCACCCATCTTTGTGATTTTCACTTAATCTGAATGGTCTGCATACTTAACAAATGCTTCACTGTCTTATAGAATAGTAGGTTACAGATCTTTAACTGGAACTCCCTCTTGTCTTCAAAATTTACTACAGCTCATTGTGCCTTTTTACATTTTGAAAAGTAATACTTTTACCACATTTAATAAAATAATATTATAAAATAATAGTGTAATAATAATAGTGTAATAATCTACAGAGTGAACTAAAAATTATCCACAGTTGTACTAGATTATATTTTCAGTTGATTAAATCTGTTCTGCCTGATACTTGCACTTACAGATCATGTTATGTTATTAGTATTTGTATAAAATAATATTGTTATAATACTTTGTTAATCCTTCACTGTTTTCTGTACATCATTGCCATACACCTCTTGGCCAGGTTATTAGTGTAAATTAGAAATTATTCTCAAGTGCTATATCTTTCCCAATAAAAGATTCAACTAAAAAAGAGATCAAGGCTGGCCAATGATGTGCTACTCCTTGGGGAATCAGTTTTAGCTAACAACAGAGGCTTAGACGTGAAGTGGCAAAGTCTGGAGAACAGAGCTCAAAGTATCTGACACAACTTCTTCAAGGCTCTACTGCTCCTGCCTACAAGTCATCATTTTTAACATCACCCCAGGAGATAACTTTTTATTTTTAGTGTGGACTTAATTGCTGCTTGTTCCGTTGCAGCTTGTATACTCATGCAGCTGAACACTCTAACCTCTTTAGTTTTATTTATATTTATAATTATTACAGTATTACTTAGGGTCATCATTTTTTTCATTTGAAGAATGTAATAGTAGTTATTTCTTGTTTAATTGTACTTAGTCCAAGAATGGCATGAAAGCTCATAAAAAAGCACATTCTGAATTGTGATCTCTTTGAAATTTGTAACATGTTTAGTACTTTCTTGAGGCTACTGTCGTTTAATTAATAGTTATCAGGTGAAGGAAATAATACATTCATGAGCAATTATACTGAGATGTTAGGTTTTTCCTAAAAATGTTGTATTTTTACTTTGTGTAATGGCATCAAGTGAAGTGTGGAATGTTAGTGGGACTTTTGCTTCAGTAAAAAAAAGATTGGGATATTTCTGCAAAAAAATAACAAAATTATGTTTAGTCAGTTTTACATTTTCATGATAAGATGCTAAGTTTGATATTAACAAATTGTTTTAATTGGAGAATCCAATCAACAACACATCTGAATAAATATATTACCCCCAAAACATACATTTAGCCCAGGGATGCCCAACCTTTTATAATGTAAGATCTACTTTTTCATTTGCCAGTGGAGCATGATCTACCAGTGTGAACTTGAAGCTCTGATATAGGAAAAGCAGACTGTGGGCACATCAGTACAATAACAATACCCATCACTAAAGAGACAGCAAATAAAAGCAAGTGATTCATGCTACAGTGAACAAGTAATGTTTTTTAGAAAAAATAATATCCTACCTTAATATGAGCATTGGCACTAAGAAGCTTACTTGAGAACACTTGTAATTTTTTTTTAATGTGTTGACACTGTTGATCATGTCAATTTTTATTTTGTCCCTGCAGCTCGATATTCAGCAGTTCAGTCAAGTCTGTGAGGACTGCTAAGCCCAGAAGCCACTGGTCATCCTCTAATTGGGCATATTCACCATGTTTAGATGACTTGAGAAGATTTCAGGCAACAGCTGTCCGAACCTGCCAAAAATGTTTGTTTTTGAAATCTCCAAACAGCAAGTCAGCAGCCTCAGCAAACGCATTTTTTATTACTTCTCAATCCCTGAATTACTTTTTGCATTTATCCAGGACATGGCTCACACGGAAAGATGCGATGATTGCTGCTTTCCCTCTTGTATTAGGCCTTGTGAAAACCGACTGCTGCAAGTTAAGATTTTAATCCTTCCACTTTCTTTTCCCTAACTCAATTTTAGCGTTAATTTTTTTAAATGTTGTTCTATATTTCCCTTTTTCGCTTAGACGCTAGAATTGCAGATTTTAATGCAAAAGTACAAACAAATAATCATGCTCCCATTCCTTATGGGTTTCTTTGCTTCATCGTTTTTGTTCAAACACTACAACTATCAAAAACTTATCAAACTGGCGAATTTGTCACGGCCTGTTTCGCTCCACTATGCACTGTAGTGAATGTGGGGTTGGTGAGGCAATAGCCAACAGAAAGATCTAGGGTAGCGAACACAACACTCTTCACTTACGGAGCTCCTGTAGCCCTTTTTTCCAGTGTCAGCCAGCCCTCAGGGACGACACTTTTACAACCCATTTGACGAAGGTTAAACCCATACAAGTGCAGTAAAATGTAAGGCCTTACACGCACAGTTCTGAATGAATTTTAAGGCTATCAAAAAAATAGGTCAAATAGCTCATTTATTTTTTTGCCAAACATTCTTGCGATCAGTCGACTGTAATCTTTCTCTCTTCCTGTCTATATACTTCCACATATGGACACAACATACTGCTGATTACCAAGTTGCAAACAAATTGCATATAGGGCAATTTTTCTTT